GGACTTCGGCGTCGAGAAGTTTCGTCGCTCTAGTCAAGATGACTCAGTTTGGATGAGGGGAAAGACAAAATCACGGTCGACTGATGCCCTCCCGTGTCCGGCCTCCTTTGTCTGGCGGCTGCGGAAATAAGATTCAACCGGCTCAGAAGATCTGCCAACGGGAGCTAGACAGAAGGGCTCGGTCGATGTTGTGCAGTCTTGAGGTCTAAACCAAAAAGAATCCATTTCGTCAAGACCCGCGTCTGACTGTCCAACGTCTTCATCTCTAGCGCTGTCTCTGGTATTGAGTTTCTGCACGTCTTTCTTTGCGGGGCTTCACAATGGGCTTATTTAAGCGAACAGTTGCTAAACGAGACGCTTAGGAAAGCTCGACATGGGACTGGATGCGAAGAGGGAAGTGCTCTCTATCTGGTTGAGGACACGACAGGCCTCGCCCTGAATCTCATGACCTTGAAATCCGCGGCCGAGGGCTGCATGCATTCTGACGAGTCTTGGGAGCTGGTTTCCAACGGTCAGTGTTCAAATAGACCTCCTCCTGAGTCTAGAGACAACGGTTACTGAATATGGTGTGTCGTGACACCAAACTCTTTATCGGCATGCACTGAATCGTCCGGGATGAGAACATCGAAGCCAGGATGAACGGGGCCGCCGGAGTTGAGGCCGATAAATGAGGCTTAGAATACTGCCGATATTTGCTTCCGGCGGGAGGGTTGCAATGGTTGATTCTATCGCACACCATCGTATTAACAAATTAGGTATCCCGGACTTTAGGTTCCTTGTTCAGTTGGGACAGGTCTTGTGATTGTCATCTCGTTTGGTTCATGTCGGCGTCCTCGCCGGTTCGGCGAGCGCACCGGGAGCCCCTTTTTGCAAAACCCAAACTCACGATCCAGGTGACACAATACACACGAGACCGAGTAAAGCCAGCTAACTTCTCAGATGTATCGATCTGTCTGTACGGAGTAATCATCTCTTAATCGGACAAGACTTTACACGAGTCGCGACGAATCGGAAAACGGCGGCCTAGGCATCGGCCCGGAGACATCGCAGCCCAACCTCTCCAACAGTCACCTGTCAGGTCGATGAGGGACCGAACTCAACCTTTTCGCTTCATCTGGAATGAGGTCGAATGCAAGATACGGCGTATGCACAAAGATTATTACAAAGTCCAACTTATATCGCATGCACATTTAAGAGCTTAGGCTGTGAGAGCTACCCAACCCTGGACCCGATCTTCAGACAAAGATGGAACATGTCAAACAGCATAGCCTCCACAGAATAGGAGAATTCCATCTTATGCCCATGATTCCAGAAACCCCGTCTTGCTCTTACAATCAGACATAGGGAATTCGCCTCAAAGATGGGTCTTTCAATCTCGCCGTCCCCAGCTTTCTGATTCACGTCTCCTCAGCCCAAAGACGTTGGGCACCACTACTCCATTCTCAAGCTTCGGGCCCCCATCCATCTGGCTGTGGAGCTGAGAGATCTTCAGGGACTTTGAGCTACACCAAAGTCTTAGCAAGCGGAGGCGTGTTGCCCGCATGTTGTAGACATGCTCTAGTGTGGTGTAGATACCGCCTATCATTGCTGTATCTGCCTTGAATGGAGCTGCGACCCGAACGTAAGGCAGCGTGGGTCGATCCTTCAGCCGAGGGATGCGGTGGAGAAACCTGGCGAGAAGACAATGAGTGCCGTTCGACTGCCGTGGATTACAAACGGGGTGGTGCGCGAATGCTTCAATCACAAGAACTTGGTCGAGGAGACGTAGAGATACCCGAGAAGTTGTGCCGTGCCGGGGCGGCTGCATCCCTCAACGATCTAGAACAGGAATATGTTTCCCTTAGTCTTTGGGGCGACCTTAAGCACACCCTCGACAATACTCGGAGCCCGATAGTGGTATATTATGGCATGTTAGAAGTCTAGCGAGGTCTCGTTGCTGCATCACCGGTCGAGGCCTCAAAGTCTAGGCCAGAGGACGGTAGGATTCGTACTCCTACCTTACCCACCCCTTAAGCCCTTGTCATTCTTCAGCAAGCTGCAGTCTGCATCGCCTGGGTACCGACAGGATCGAAACGACGATCTCGGTGCAATGCACCCGGTCAAAACCAATCAGCTTTGATGCGTCGGTCCATATGATCCCGACGTATATTCGTGCATAACCAAAATCACCAATCAACGGAGACAGCGGCAAGGCACACATCGGAGAGGTCCGCCTCTCTCGCAGATTCGGTACGAGGACAGCGTTTCAGCGGCCTGTTCAAGGGTGTGTGAATGATGTATCCTGCCGGCAGAATGGCGCATCTGGGGCAATATTCCCGCCGGGCGGTGTCATTAATGATCATAGAGTCACACACACTCTTCTCTTTCTAGATAGCTCTCCCCACAGTGGCAGACCAGACAGATGCGGACGGCAACGGGCGGTGGGACGAACCGTTCAGGCGAACCAGCGTGCCGGCGCGAAAGCGAGAGATGGGAAAGTAATCAACCCGCATACACGGTTTCTTTTTTCCCGGCTGGGCTTGCTGTGCAATGACTCGGTTGACGGCAATTCGGTCGAGTCACAAAGCCGTCTTTTCTATCACACAGCGCGGTGGGACGATGTACGAGCATCCGTACTCTGTACAGTCGCAAACTCGCTGCTTATCTGCTTCCGAACACACGGTCTTCTAAACGGAGGACGTCGGGATAGGCCCGAACGAGGAACGGTCGAAACTCCCGGGCCAGCTCCTTGAAAAGAACATAGATTCTAACGATCTAGCCTAGCTGGCGTAGCGACGCGAGGAGGCTGACCAGGGGAAAGAAAACTTGTTTCTAGCGCGCGTGGAGTTTGGATTGCATCTCCCGCATACCTCAGCCATCCGTGGCATATGTTCCATCGAACAGCACTGCACATCTCGAGGCCAGCGGGTCAAGGAGTGACTGATGTGTTGACGCACATCCACGTCGCGATCGGCCACGTCAAATCTCCATTGCGGTCACCGCCCCATTCTCGCTCGACCTCTTTGCCCCCTCAGCAAAAGAACAAGATGAAGCCAACGTCGCACCCCGATCATTCCACGTTACGGAGTACAGCGACCTGACAGGAATGGAGCCCGGCTATGGTGTTTGATGAGAGCCCGCTCCCATTCCACCCCCAGGGCCAAAAAGAACCCATATCGGAAATAGAGCCTGCAATTCTTTTACGAATCAGATTCCGGAACCATGCCATTGGGAACCCCCGAGACAGCCCAGCGGATCACGCGTTGATTGGCCTAGCGGCTCGGAGCACTGGGATAGAACGGTACTGGCGTCAGCCACATATGCCAGCCGAGCCAGGCTGCTGGGACTTTTTGCTGCCCTGGATATAGCTGCCGGGGCGGCAGGCGAGATTTGACCCTGACGTGGAGTTTCTACGAGGGGGGATTGAATGGGTATTCTGTAGGGACGAAATGACGAATGGCGCTGATTCCCTGCTCACTTCCGAGTCTTGACCCAGATGACGGACGCCATCGCCGGCTGCCAGCTGAGAGAGGAGGAGAGAGAAAACTCTGCACCAGAGGGACGGAACCGCCGGTCGTGATCCACGGCGCTACTCATCAAGCGAAATCCACGCTCAGGCAGGGCACTATGGCAGAGAGAATGGACACACTGTCACACACGCAACCCATTTGAAAATAGTACGGAGTAGCATGATGGTGTATCTGTACGGTTACGCCCTCCGGCCGCCCAAAGTGAGCAGAACGAATGATCGGCTGCTTCGAGTCCCACCCCGGAGTTGACCGCTGGATCAGCACCGAGCTATCGAAAAGGAAAGGAGGAGGCCACCGATGAGGCCATCGCAGAGCGCGGTATGAGGTCGAAAATGCCTCCCTGCGTGCCAGTGGGAGCATGTTTCAAAATCATCAAAAAGTTTGGTTCGATACTTTGATAGCAGCGTCGGCTATTTTGGACTATCCCGCCCTGTCTATTGTGCAGTAGTGTGATGCCGGCAGGATATCTGCATCACAGGATGGGTTTGATTATGATTAGGGACAGGATTTTGCTACCCTTACACATCAGTAACGTAGGGTAACCAGGTCTTTCGTGTCTTTGGTTCTTCAACCCGCTCCTCCCACGCGCTAGAAGCGAGCTAGAAACCTCTGCCTGGGATGTCAAGTTCTTCAGAAGGTCAGGACAAGGGCCTTCCCTCGCCTGACTCGTCCAGCGGTCAATCTCACAACCTGCGTCCCCGACAAGGCCACGCTCGTGACAATCTTTAGCGGGCCACAAACCCCTGGACGCAGCTTCACCGGTGTGGAGTAGGGCCTTCATCGAGTCCTCTTTGCGGTCAAGCGGATTTGCAAGACGCCCGCACCACTGGTCCCCTCGAAAGTTTAAACTGCCCAGGGGCCGGGGATAGGCCCAAGGGCCTGCTATCTTCACTCAGCCGTTGAATGCTTAGTGGTCTTGTACTCTGGAAGGCTTCTTGAATTTCACCGGTTGGCTCGGACATATGGAAAAGAACGGTTTCCTCGCATATGAGCTTACTGGAGTTATCACACAAGACATCGGGTTCTGGGCGTTTACGGCACACCGGTCATACATATCGGTCGTAGCTTGAAGTCACTAACATTCGATCTCATCATCGGGCGAAGACTAGAAGCAATTCGTCCGACATGCCGAGAGAACAGCTGACTTTTCCCGCCTCACCTCCTCTGTCAAGACTGGCGCCTACCGATTACAAGACAAAGAAGCGACGTTGGGGGTACGAATATGTCATAACATCAAAGCGTTGACGTGCAGCAGAGATGAGTTCGCGGGCATCGTCATGTCAGTGAGGCACAGAGTTCATGCTCAGGTCAAAGCGAAAAACGCACCCGGGCCACACTGAGACCTACGTCTCACGTGAAGCACTGCCCATTGTCGATCCTGATAGAAAACTCTTGGTATGGATTTGGCGCTTAGAGAAACTTCGGATCCGCTCGGAGAAGACAGCGTCGGAGAAACGCAGCGCAGCAGGTATGTCGAGCCGCGGCTCTCTGTCATTGATCTTGGAGTACATCTCCAGCCAAGACCGGAACACCAAAGTATCGTCGTTCCCGAGGAAGCAACGCAGGCGGAAAACCATGGGCCCCGACCCGGACCGCAGCATTGAGCTCTTGCCGACACTTGGCTAACATGGCTCTTTTGCTCTCGGGGCAGGCAAACTGACGTCGTGCTGTCGTCTTCTTTGCGGCATCGGCGAGATCGCCGAAAAAGTCAAAAAGCATAATGAGGTTAACTTGCTGCGGGCTCAAGCTTTGCGAGGGGGATGAGTGAGGGTAAGGGTGAAGGAAGGGGAAGGGGGTGGTGGTTTGGATCGTTGGAGATTTCCATTGCAGCATTTGGCAGGCAGCGCACGGTCGATCCGGTCCAGGATGGATGGAACATGGGCAAAATAGTCACCTAATTAATATTGCTTCCCTCCCAAATTGTTATCCCGTACGGATGGATGCCTTCAGCAAGGCCGGCATCAACCGGTGACAAGTATGATGAGTCAAGTGCATCACTCTCCCGCAAATCTATCAAGAGTCGAGACTTCTCGAGACGAACTCGAAGGGCCAAGCGATAATTAGGTTGCTGTGGGATGTAAAGAGAACGACTGGTCGTTCCCCCTTTGCCTTCATTCAACATGTTGACCGGTGGTGGGTCAGACGTCAAACTATCTTCATCGGTCTGGCGAAAGGGAACACCCATCACGTTCTCAACGGGTTTGAACGGGCGAGCTCCTTGCTAAACACGAGGCGCTACCATCCATCCGCGATACTACCGGTGACGGGGCCGGGCGGCAAGCGGCCGGGGCTGACGGAAAGGGCTGCGCCGGTTGATGAGTAGTGGAAGGGGAGAAACCGTCGACCAGTGGCTCCCCCGTTGAATCGAATGACATTTTCCACGTGGTGAAAGGATAGCCCCGTCGGGAAAACGCCAGCTTGCGGAGGCTGCGGAGCGAAGACGAGCACACACACACACACACAAAGACAAGGCGAATTTGAAACGTCCCCGAGAATGGGACGATAGTCAACCCGTCTGGGAACGCCTAGCGGGGAGTCCATGTCCGCAGTGGAGAGCCACGTAGAGCCACTTCATCAGCTAGAAGTTCTCTAATATGGGCATGAAGTGGGTGGACGACGCCACGCGAACAGCTGCAAGTTGCGAGTTGTAACTACTGACCGCTGGCTCTCAAAAGACCCTGGATGGGGAAAACGGAGACGAAAAGATGGATACGATATTAAACCAAAGAAAACAGCACATATTTGCTAGGAAGATGTCGTCAGTGCAGTCACATAAAAGAAGCGGTGACCTTATCAATCTCGTCGGAAATGATGGCCTCTGCATCGGAAGATCCAGGTTCTCACTAGCGTCGGCACCTTGAGAGGTAGCTGGAGCTCGGGAAAAGACAAGGCTCACGCACTTGATGTACGGTTACTGCTGACTGCTTTGAGTGCTGGCTGGTCAGGGCGAGTAATATGGTACGAAATGGCATTGGGATGCGCCTCTCCGTCGTTTCGCCTTGACAAACGATTTCTGAATGATCTCCGCAAGACAGGGGCTGGGCCACGTGCAGACCGATGGGCTGTGTCCCAAACTCTCGCCCATCGATCTGGTTGAAGAAATGAAATAAATGAATACATGAGAAAAAGTGACCTGACATGGCCTGGTAGGCTGGCACGCCGCACGCCCTCGAGCCTTGGACGTGTGGACTGCCGAGGCATAATATGGATGGGGATGTACTTATGCCCCCCAGGCCCTGCCAGAACTGCGGACGCACAAAGACATGCATAAGTTTGAACCCCGGTATATGCCCATTGCATGCGACGGTGCGAGATCCAGAGACTGGGTGGTCTGGGCAGATACTTTCGAGTTCCCGCGCTTCTTGTTGCATTTTGCGGAATATTTCTTGACCTCAGCCAAGCCAAGAACAACGTCTGTTTTGCAACTGAAATCCTTAATTGAACTTCTCTCTCTCTCTCATCTCATCGTGGTGAAAGTGAGGCAACTAGCTTGAATGCCTGCCCCAGAGTCACTAAGTCGTTCTCGGAAAGCGTTCAGCTGTCACACTGCAGCCATGATGCCCGTTCCAGAGAGGACTGGGCTCTACGGATAGACTCCAGAGTCTCATTAGACGTGGGAAACGCTGCCTTGACTCGAGTAGCGCATTACACCACCTCCGGCACCTATCCGTACGGATTCCGCCAGGGGATATGTCTGAACTGCCCGTTGCTCGACGTCGACTGTCGAACGGTTCTTGTCAGTACCGTTCGTGCGTGAAGCCAAGCCCTGCGTCGGCACCGCGCGGCTGCGCCAGCATTGCGTTCTGCATCTACCCTTGCTGTGCTGCATCGCTTTCTCTTTCTCTGTCAGAACTGCCTCCTTCTTTCACGTCCTCGACGCGAGTGCGGGGAGTTGTCTTGTCAAATGTACAATGTACCGGACTCTAGGGCCATGCATAAGAGGACCGTACCCTTAACCTTTGGGTCTCGTCTTTGCCCCTGTCCGGCTCTGTAGCATCGAAGGTCCTAAAGTTCCCAGCCCAGGTGACGAGAATAAGATCAGGGAAGCTGCATTGTTGCCCCCCTCAGTTACATTTCAATCTGGCTTTCGTCTCTGAGTGAACGCGTTCTTGCCCTCCTCCGCACCCCTTGATCGTCTCGTTTCTCAGCTCTACCACGTCCAGTGACGACTCACACCCAGACCCCTTGCACAAGGGGGAGGGTCCCCGGTGGATGTCCCACGGCTTCCGGGCCTTGGTCACTGATGGCACGCAGTGAGAAGCGCACGTTCTCTTGCTTCCATAATCCCTGTCGGGAGCTCGAAAGTCATGTGTCTGGGGGGGACCCATTTCTGATTCGTAATTGGTGAAGAGAGACCTGGTCAAGGAGACGACAGAGAAAGAGCGTATCCGCACTCCGTAGAGAGGCAACAGCCAGCCCATCGCCAGGCAAGGCACCTTGTCGAGAGAGAAGAGCTGTGAAGACGCACTAGCGTGCAACATCCCGACCAAATCTCCCAAGATGGTTAGTTTACTCACTGTGAGAAAACTCTCTTTCTCTACCCTCCTGCTTCTGGTATGGCTTGGTGTTTAGCGTCAGCTACTTTGATGGTGGCCAAGGATCACCAACCGTCCAAAGTGCACACTTCAAGCAGCTCAACAGCTGTCTTCTGGCTCGCTGGTCCTCCATCACCCCCAGTACATTCCCCGTTTTGCGTGGCCCTCCTCCTCAAATCTTGCGCCTTCGTCGAATAGAAGCTCGAGGAGGGCAACGTAGTTTTTGGGGACGAGCCGGTGCCTGTTTCGCTATCTCTGGTCGTGTTGCCGTCCGTGAAGAAGGATCACCCCTGGCGCCAATTAGTCTCGAGAGCCAATTTGGGGCAAAACTGCCCTATGGCAAGCCATGTACGTCTGGCGTGGAAAGCCAACTCAAGCGTCGTTATGGTTTGTTTGGCTACCCGTGGTGCCCGGCCAGCCACCAGTAGAATAGCACGGGTCCATCCAGTGGGTTTTCCGTCTCCTTTTACTTTTTCCACAAACCATGACGCTGAGAGCATCACTGGCTGGCGGCATGAGGGCAAAGATTGCAAAGCAGCACGTACGCACACTGGCGCGGAGGGAAGACCTTTGGCCACCAAACCAAACGAGACCAGGCCGAGCAACCGATGAGAAAACGGAGCCACAAGAGTCGAGGAACCAGGGATCGTTACGTAGGGACTGCGCGGCGCCGGTCTGGTATGCGTACCTGGAATGGTGGGAAGTCGCCCATGTATCTCGCTGTGTAGGTTCCTTGCTTGGGCTTTGGGTCAGTTTACCTACCCCATACATATGACTGACGAACAGATAGACAACATATCCAGTGCTGTGCAGCGGCAGCGTGTGCGACTCGAACTGTGCGTCCATGTATGTATCCATACAGATATACTATTCCTACGAGGAGGAGGGGAGACTCAGGCACCACACTCCCCCCAGGACGGCCCAAAAACCTACGTACACCCCCTCGGACCGGGCCTGAGCCTGAGGGATTGTGCTCCAAATGGCGACGAGCAAGAGCCTGAACACTGCGCGCACCCTTCCTGTTCGGCTTGCCGCATCAATTGTATCTTTCTGCCCGATCCGTCCGTCCATTCTCTTCTCCCACTCACTCACAAGCCACCTCTATGGCACCAAGTTCCAGTGGCCCACGGCCTGAGTTTCTAACCTTTCTGGAGCCAAAGAGCAAGGGCCAAGGGGGCAATCATATTTCTGGGACCATGATGCTTGCTGCCCGTCAGTCTGGTCTGCCCCCCGCCGGCTCTGGCTGGCTAACTAGGACTCAGGTACATCAGTGGGAGCGTGTTTGTGTCTCTTCCTCCGGATACTCTCACTTGTCTCGCCCTCTTCCTTCTCCCTCAATCTGTCTGTCTGCCTGTCTGTCTCTTTGGTCTGGCCCTCCCACTCACCCCCCTTCGTCCCGTTTACCTTACATATACCTCCGACGTAGCGGTACTTGTTGGCCCTGACCTTGCATGACAATCCCAGCTACATTCTTTGCGTGGATGCCCATAGTCTCCAAGCACCAGGCCATCTATATACAGAACCTCCAAGCACCTCTCTCACACGCTCTTCACACTCCTCGCCTTGTTCCCCATCCGAATCCACACTCTTGACAATACTTCGCCCCGACCTTTAAATACAAACGCGCCCACCCTTTTCTCGACTTTGACGACGGCTTCACCGTATTTCCAGCTCTATATCGATCTTTTCCCACCAGAACTTCTCCCTCCTTGTTATTTTCGTCTACCAAGTCTTGAACCTTTCTCGCCAAAGCCCGTATCTGCTGGCCACCACACACCCCTGACTGTACGACTCGGATCCCCGCCGCTACTGGTTTACACCGTACTCAACCCATTTCGACTAATACCCGCCGCCTGGGTTTTTTCCTTGTCCCTTCGGATCTACCTCCGGTCACCACGTCCCACGAAAAACACAACACTCAGAAAGCAGCAGCAATGTGCAACTACACTCAAGTACGTTTCGACCAACAAACAACGCATCTTCCCGACGATGATGGATATTTGCTATTCACGCCAGGACTTTGGATTGACATTTTGGTGCCTCACAGAGAGAATTTCACTGCGGCCACGTCCGCTGGATCGTCTCGCGGTGGTGCCCAGTCTACACTCGCACACAACGACGCTGCCCCCCGTGCGTGACACATTTCGAGTATAGGTACGTCCGCTGTCGTTTCTTTTTCCCTTCACCATGGCGCCCTCTTGCAGATCTTGACGGATGAAACCGAGTCATTCTTCCTCGCCCTTCCTCTCTGACTCTTCTCTTGGACAATATACTGACGTGCATCAAAAATAGGGGCGATGAAGTTTGTGGTATGTCCTCTCTCCACGGCAACGCCGTCCTCTATCCTTCCTTTGCTTTTGGAGAGTCGATCATCGCCCATTCATCCACGCCGGGCAGGGGTGCGTGCTTCTGCTGTGTCTGTCTGCTGCCACGGAAATGGGATTGTGTCTCCAACTCCACTCTAACTCCAAGCACCTGGAATTGGGACTGGCATGGGGGTATATGGCAAGGAAATTTGGCCCGCCCAGTGTCCCTGTTCACCCTCTCCTCTCAGAGCCAGAGAGCATAGAGCGAGCCAAAGCATCGATCACAGACACAGCAGCAGCAGCAACCCTTCTCCCATATGGCGGTTGATGCGGTTATTCTCTCAGCTTTCTTTTCTCTTTTGCCTTTACTACCCTGCACTTCCGTTCTAGACTTTGGAGCTAACATGTGTCTCATCGTAGGCGAATGCAAGCCTTCAGCACCGATCGTGTGGGAGAGCATGATCAGACGCAATAACACGCCAGTCGGATTATAAGGTCATCGTCGAACCAAATCGACGAGACCCTTTTTCATCATTCCCTTCATCCACCATTTTCTAGACAACATTCCGATCCAGAAAGGCCCACGCCCGGGGTGCAGATCCAGTCTGCAGCACGTCCTCTCTATCACATCTCACATTCTCCCTCGACCGCTTTGGCTCTGTCCCTCCAGCCTTTTGGGACAAAGTACAACACCAAAGAGATGGGATGAGAGAAGGATTGTGCAAGACAATTTCGTCAAAGCTTTCGCCTATACCAATTTTTTTTTATTTTTTTTCATCTTCAACGATTGTTTGATACTTGGCAACCTCGAGCAAGCGCCGCGTCACACAGCCACACAAACAATTCGCCAAGCATGGCCCTAGTCAAAGGGAGCGGTGGCCAGGTTCGAGAGACGACAATTACACGGTACCGGTGTATTTGGCTCCGGGGCCATCACCAACCTTGGCTTGGGCGCATCGACGATGCTGCATCGCGCTAAGGCAGCCTTCCGCGACATTTTGTCCATATGGACGGGCCCTTTTACCAAGAAACCGACGCCGTCTCCAATTTGAATTCCCGTCTGCATGGCTTCGACGGGACCGATGGAGGGATGATGGCTGCACACACGCAGTAAGAGGGGGACGGATGAGGGGTCTCGACCATGCTGATCCCACATGAGGAGCCAAGCAACACATTTGCATGGCTCACGCTGTAAGAGGAGGAATATTCTATCATTATTGAAAGAGGGGAGGGAAGAGGGAGATTTTTTCGGAAAAAAGAAAACACAGCAAGGTGCAAACCTGCATCTCACTCACGGCGTTTGCGAATTCGAGCATTGCGGACAGGAAGTCACGGCGCTGACACGGAAACGAGCATTTCAACAATTTCCTTCATTTTTCTGAGCAGCAGGAGGAAAGGCACGAACAGGCGGGAAAACAACACAGAGAAACAAACCGCCACACACAGCCAGCAACAGCAACTTTGTGTGGACACGAGGATCAGCAGCACGCGGAGAAAGTGCGGAATTATGGGTTATTTGGACGGGAGGGTCCGCAAGGGTGGGAAGCAGAAGAAGAGACGGCGTCGCGGACTATTCAACTTTATTCGGGCGCCTACGCCGACCACGGCACCGGGCTAGCGGCGGCTCTCCCCGGTCAAGCAAGACGAGACGAGACCGTCTACCCTCCATCACGGCATCTCTCGCTCAGTCTTTCCTCTGTCTGCTCATGGTCGGTCAGGTCGTGCATTAGCCGACGTGGCCCGCGTTTGTCTCGGCTCCCGACTTTTATTACCTCCACACACCTACTTCACTCTCACTCTCACTCACACGTGTTGCGATAAAAGCACTCAACGGTTTTCAACCGCAGACACTTGGCAGCATTTTCATCCGGCGATGATTTCATTATGTTCTTGATTTCGGCGTCTTTCTGATTGGAAAGCAAGGGAAAGTGAATTGGAGTTTGGGATAAGGCACCAGCATGTTTTTCATCGTTTGTCCTGCTACCACACGGCGGACTGGGTAACGGGAGTTTGCATACACATCTTTTCTAGTTACTTTTGCTTATGGCCTCTTACAGTTCCCTCCACCCATCACCATTTCGGATGGTGTAGAGGGAAGAGAGCGCAAACGATTTTCCTGTACTTACATACCCACCAATACCTCGTCACACATTTTTCACCAAACAGATGGATGCACTTTGGCAATACAGAACAAACGGCGCAGTAGCGCTGATACCAGAAAAAAAGAGATTTGAGAAAACTTAGATACCTACTTTACACTACTTGCGTGTTCACTCCTCATCAAACCCTTACCTCTTTTAGCGAAAGCTCACGTCTCTCGTGTTCATGTGCCCCGAATGCTTCCCAAGGCGCGACTTCGTACCTCGCAGAATGTGGGTTTCCGTGATACTTTTCGAGGGATTACACACTACGGAAGAAAGCGCAGGAAAAGGTTCAAAGTGCATGCAGTAGCCGACATTCTGCAGCGTTCAACCGCCCTGCACACATACATACCTTCGCAAGTATACACACGTACATCCACACCCGACGCCATTTCATCTAGCCCACCCAGTAACTCTCCATAGCCGTCCCTCTCCGAAATCCATCCTCGAACATGAGATGACACGGCCAGACACGCCCGGGCCAGAGAGGAACTAGAGCAAAACAGGGTCTCCATATACCGAGCAACACTGACTGGGCAAATTTTACCGCTTTGGTACACGCAACGAGGGTTACATGGTTCGTGAAATAAAGCGTGCTAATTAGGAGGGGATGATTCAAGAGTGGGACTGGACTAATAGGTACCTTCATGGGCCATTTACCATTCATTGCAAGGCGAGACACGACAGGGCTTGACAGGGAAGAGTGGAGAGGGGCTTTTCTGGTTAGCTCGACCACTACGAAGTACACACACGTCACAGGGTTGTTGCTTGATGTGCTTAGTGCTGTAACGTGTGGGAGGGACCAGAGAGAGGAGCGAGGGTGTGTGTGAGTGAGCGACTGAGAGAGAGAGTGTGTGTGTCTGTCCGTCTGCATGTGTGTGCAAGGGGAGGGGAGGCATGTACGCGCGAGGAGGATTGACCGGTGAAGCTGCACTGCAGTGGCCCGCCGTCCTCTCGTTGGTCATCGTGTTACGAGATGTGCCGAGCAAAGCGTGAGAAAGGCAGACCGAGCTTATGGACAATGGGACCGGTGGGAAATGAGACAAGTGATAGGGGAATCAGGATAGCGAGGTGGTGATGTCGGGCAATTTTGGGTTCTGTTGCGCTGTCCAGGCCTTGCGTTTAACCGTGAGCAAACGGGTCGAATTTGGGTTGCTAAGAAACAAGCGGCGGGCAGTTTTCTTCTGAGCGGGTTGTGATGAAATCAATGGCACACACACCACGCAAACGATACTTGACACTGACGGCCGTCAGCCATCCCTTTGCGGCCCGATGCCGCCCACTCTGGACTGACCGATATTACAGACTAGACGTCCTCGGTGAGGGATCAGGTGTAGAACGAGTGGGAGTGCCAGGGTCCCGGACGAAGGAGCGACTCCCACGGCATCAGACGGGGTTGTTGGCGTGGGGTGAGAGAACGTTTCGTAGGACCCTTCAGATTTGTCCATTCCGTCACAGAAAAGAAGCCCTCCCCTCCCCGTCTATAGATACCGAATCCAGGTTGGCTCGTGGCACGTATTTGGGCATCTAGGGTCCCGCAAGCCACCACGCCTTTCTCGAGCAGTAGCGTGGTGGCTGTCTTTTGGTGCTTCGGAACTTGGAACAGCTCGACCTGCCCGACGTGGGAGAACGTGGGATCAAGAAGGGAGAGGGAGGGGGGTGGGGGCTAGTGGCAGTTAGTATGCACAACGGGGTATACCAGATGGTCATCTGGAGGTGTTTCGAAGTGCCTCCCGCGCGCTGGCCCCCGTCAACGACATTGATGGACGGTGTGAGGTGAGGTTTTGCGTCGTGGGGTGTAAGTGGGCATTGGCGATTTCACGCCAGAGACCAAGTTGGGCACACAGGACCATGAGACAATGGGCTGCCTCTCATTCAAGTAAATGCGGCTGCTGGCAGTTGGGATGCCGTGCATTGAATCGTAGCTCAGCTGATGAGAGAAAATGGGTCGGGCACCGTCCAGCGCAATTGTACAGCAGAGCAGAAGCATTACAGATACGATAATGATATATCTGGCTACACGTCATGTAAGGATACATTTGATGATGCGCTGCGACGCAAATGCGAGAGCCCATCAGGCACGACGGGCCCCTCATTGGCGTACCTGTTGGGCTCTGTGCGACACTGTATGTTGTCTCTGGCGCTCTCGTTAAGCTGTCTTATGAGCCGCGGGGCGTTTGGTGCAGGGCTTTCGAAAATGTCTTGGGCGTCGGCATGGCACATCAATGATTCGAGGTACATGTGAGGCGCGCGCGTGTGTCTGCGTGGGATATGTGAGAAGAAGTGTTTAGGGGGGTGAGGGGTGAGAGTCTGTATGTTGTACAGGAAAGTGTGCATGTGAGCTCGCTCACTATGAGTATGAGCATGAGACTGACAGTGAGAGTGAGCCTGAGCATTGAAACATTCGGTATGCCCACTCATGACGATGGGGCATCAACACTAACACACGCTTCGTCCCGATTTCCAGTCTAGTCTCTCGGGACTGTACGAAATACTCGGCCTTTCCAAGATAACCTCTTTCAAGTTGGGTTGTGAACTTCTGGCAGTACACGCCGGTTCGGGCCACTCTAACGGCCTTCAGCCAAGCGACATTGGCAATGAAAGGCTTCATCGGTTGGCCCAACGGCGCCGTCCGGCGTAGCCCGCAGAGGTGAAGCACATGGCACTCAAAGACATGGCAATCTAGCCTAGCCCAAGTTCTAACTGCCACGCCGGGCGATCAATATCGCAACCCGCTCAACTTGGGTGACCGGTGAAGGTGTGGATCTTGTCTCCTCCCTCCGTACAGAGAAGTCTCTCACCCTCTTCATCGTTTGCAAATTGATTCGACGCCAAGCCGGCTACGCTGGATAAATCCGTTGTCAAGCAGCATGCGGGTGTCAAAGAAGCTGCGCGTCGCAGCAAGCAAACGGCTTTTTTTTTAGTGCTGCAACTCGGTCGTCATGAGGCATCATCGGCCCCCCAGAGTGAATGAAAGAAAGGGCGGGCCGAAAATGGGGTGTTTGCCATTATTGTAAGACTGTGTGAAGTACATTCATGGTTGTTGGCCAGTTCTTGAGGCCGCATTTTGATTGCATTCGCGCCGGATCAACAGTGCATTGCACGTCTGTAGGGCAAAAGCT